AGATCTAATTAGAAATTTACAGATAGTTCAGGGGAAAGAGGAATGCATTAAACACCATCATAGCAATGTAGTCAGCAGAATCCAGATGGGGGAATTCTTCTAGGCAAATAACCAAATTTCTTTAGCAACAAAAACAAAATAATAATAAAGATTGTGAGGAAGAAAATGTGGGAGGGAAAGAAGGAAGGAAGGGGAAAATAGAGAAGGAATCTATGGATTAAAAGAGACTTAAATATATAGGAAAAGAGAGGACACAGTGAGCACAGTAAATATTAGACAATGTTTAGAAGATATTACTGATTTTTGTTTTAGTGGTGGTGGTATAGTGGTTATTTTGAAAAGAAAGTACATATGGAAGATACATATGAAGTATTTGTAGATTTAATAATATGACTATTTGGGGGAGGCTGCTAAGAGGTTTGCAGGAAATAAGAGTCATCACATACTGATAATTATTAAAGCTGAGTGATGAGAACATCAAGGCCATTATACAGTCTCTGTATTTTTATATATGCTGGAAATTTTCCATAATAAACAGATAAAGAAAAAAGCAACAAGGAAAATTGAATCAACTGACCCAAAGAGCACCAAGAATACAATCAGGCAATTTATGAAAGATGAAATAGAAATAATCAATAAGAAAATGAAAAAAAAAATCCTGCCTTAGGAGAAAACTAAAAAGTGTAAATTTTTTCAAAGATGAGGTTTCATTTTTTACATATCATGTTGTCCAAGCATTTAAAGATGAATGATACCCCCTGGTGGCAAGGGAATGCTAAAAGGAGCATCTCAAACATTAGACTCAAGTGGCTCAGGTTTTCTGGAGTGTGTTTATTTAACAAAAATTCCCCAAAATACATGGTGAGAAACCAGAGCTCCAGGGCTTGCCAGCCCCATTGGATCCCAGTCATACCATTTACTGGAGACGGGATTCAAGGCAGGTTTCTTAACTGCTCTGTGTCTCAGCCCCTGGTCCCAAAATGACTGTAAGAGCGTCACCACCTCAAAGAGTTGCTGTGAAGTTCAGTGAATATTCATAAGAAGCTTGGACCAGTGCCTGGCATACAGTGCTGGCTTTCATTACCATGTTGGTTCAGCAACCTCACTTCTAAGTACTTATCCTAAGGAAATGTTAATTAAGCACACAAAGATGTATATACACATTTGTTTATCATTTCATGATTTATCAAAGGCCCAAAGTAGAAAAGCCTGGTTAAATAAATTTCTGTAATCTTTACCATGTGATACTATGTGGTCATTAAATATAATTAAGTTGATACATATGTACTGATGTAAGGAAATTTATTATCTATTTTCAAGAAGGAAAATCAAGTTAGAGAAGAATAAATATAGTTGAACTGTAGGAAGGAGACATATGTATTTTTTTAATCAGTGCATGTATATCTAGTAGTTGACTCTGGAGTTGGGGGCTATTCAAATTTATTTTTCTTTTGGCTCATCTGTGTTTTCTAATTTTTCTACATCATCTTACTGTTTGGATAATTTTAAAATAATTTAATGCATTACATAATAAATTTAATATATTGTGGTGGTTAATTTTATGTGTCGACTTGACTGGGCAAAGGAATGCTCAGATAGCTGGGAAAACTTCATTTCTGGGCATGTCTCTCAGGGTGCCTCTGAAAGAGATTAGCATTTGAATCAGTAGACAGAATAAAGAAAATCCACTCTCACCAGCCTGGCTGGGCATCATTCCATCCACCAAGGGTCCAAATGGAACGGAAAGGAAGGAAAAAGAAGGAAGGATGACTCAGCTCTCTTTTCTTGAGTGGGATGTCCACCTTCTCCTGCCCTTGGGCATTCCAGCTCCTGGTTCTCGGCCCTTCGCACTCCAGGACCAACATCAGGGGTTGGGTTCTCTCCTGCTTCCCAACCCTGCATAGAGCAGATCAGGGGACTTCCTGGCCTCCCTACTGTATGAGCCACTTCCTATAATAAATTTCCTCTTCTATGTATTTAAATCTACATCTGTATCTATATCTATATGCCACTGCTTCTGTTTCTCTGGAAAAGTGAAAGTTGCTCAGTCATCCATGGAATTCTCCAGGCCAGAATACTGGAGTGGGTAGCCTTTCCCTTCTCCAGGGGATCTTCCCAAACCAGGGATCGAACCTAGGTCTGCCGCATTGCAGGCAGATTCTATACCAGCTGAGCCACAAAGGAAGCCTGAGAACCCTAATTAAAACACATGTTCCAAAGTTCTTATAAATCTTGCCCTCAAATTTTTCAATGTATTTTAAAGTGGGAAGGGATAAACATCATTTGCTCAGTTGCTAAGTCATGTCCAACTCTTTGTGACCCTAAGGACAGAACTACACCAGGCTTCCCTATCCTTCACTATCTCCCTGAGGTTGCTCAAACTCATATCCATTGAGTGGGTAATGCCATTCAACCATCTCATCTTCTATAGCCCCCTTCTCCTCCTGCCCTCAATTTTCCCAGCATCAGGGCCTTTTCCAATCAGTCAGCTCTTTGCATCGGGTGACGAAAGTATTGGAGCTTCAGTTTCAACATCAGTCCTTCCAATGAATATTCAAGGTTGATTTCCTTTAGGATTGACTGGTTTGATCTCCTTGCAGTCCAAGGGACTCTCAGGAGTCTTCTCCAGCACCACAGTTCAAATGTATCAATTCTTCAGAGCTTGGCAAATGAAAAACTAATACATTAGTCTCCAAAGTAGAAAAAGAGATTAAGAAACATAGGATTTAATTATGAACATTCAGGAATAGAGTCATTCTTCATGGGTGATTATCACCAGCGTGTGTGAAAACACATGGGCTTTCACATCTATTTCACTTGGGTCACCCTGAAAGCATAGCCTGAGGCAAAGATTTGGGTACAAGTGAATTTATTTCAGAGGTACTCCCAAGAAGCAAATGTGAGTGAGAAAAGTGAAACCAGAAGGAGAAAGGCCAATAAAGGATGCATTAACAAGTTGTAACATTCAAGGCAACTGGGATTCACCTACCCTGGGGACTTTGAAAAACTGTGGAATAAACCTCCAAATTGTCAAACCAAAGGGCAGGAAGCTGGAGCAATTATTCACCAACTCCCACTCCACCTCGAGTGCAGGCTGCCCTGGTAGAGTCAGCTCTCTGCCATTTCCAGGCTGTACCTACACATAGCCCGTGCAGCCTTCCACATCAGAATCAACCTGAGGACAAGCAGCAGAGGTCCCAGGGTGCACTGTGATGTGAAGAGCTGGCATCGGTAGTGCACTCAGAGCTACAGGAAACCAGGAGGTGGCAAGGGACCCCACAAGCATCTTTTTTCTTTTTTTACCTCCCTCGCCCAAAGCCTGTGAATAGGAAAGCATGACTGTTGGAAGACTCCTGAGAAAGGGATGAACCTCACTACCACTCCCAACTCACTGACCCTTCCCCTCCTCACTGAGCCACTGGGGTAATCCATACATATTCTCAGCTGTTCAAAGGTATAAGATCCACAAAGGGAATTTATGCCCTAGCATCTAAGGTGGGCTGACCCCGAGTCCCACATAAGGCCCTTCATAAACTGTGCCCTAGCCTCACTGAACAGCTTGGTACCATGATACCCCCAAGCCTCCCCACCCCCAGGCCCCTTTATGCAATGCCTTTCCTCCTCACTTCCCCTAGTTCTTCCTGCTAGAACCTCAGGGCTTACCACCCAGAGGTCAAAAGAAGCCCGGATGGAGAGCTGGAGAGAGACTCGAGGTAGTGGGGAAAAACAGATGAAGCCAGACTGGCCATGAGCTGAGCTGATAAGGGTTGAAGGGTCTGTTCCCTCTACTCATGAGGCCTGGAGGTGCACGGCTGGGCTTCCCTTTATGGAAAACCATGGCTACTCTACTAGTTCTCACTCTCCTGGGCACCGCAGCCCATGGCCAAGCAGGGTGGGCTCTGGCCCAGTGGGGACCCCCTGGTGGGCTGGGCCTGCTCTGGAGCTCCCACCAGCTTGGTGGGGGTGACAGCTGCACAGCGTCTGGCCTCCCCTCGCCCACTCCTGCTGCCTGCTCGCCTCCTCTCATGGGGGCCAGACCCACACTGCCCTTGAGCACTTGCCCTGATCCAGCTTCTCTGCCTTCACTTTTCACAGGAGTGACTCCCCAACAAACCCATCGCACCGTTACCACCATCTTGGCAACGTCACCCCAAAGTCCTAAACTGACAGCTGGGGTACAGATGGCTCCGGCCCCCACCCAGTCCCTGCTGAAGCTCCAAAAACAAGGAAGAAATACCAGAGGGTGATAAACATGCTGTATTTAAGGGTTTACATAAATTAATGCTCTTCACATTAAAAAAATACTATAGATATGTATATAACCTAATTTTAGAAATATTATCAAAACTGAATTTGTGGTCCCTTGGAGATATGCCGCCCCAGCCAGGTGGCCCTCCTTCCCTCTCACCCATGAGCAGGTCCTGAGGACATCAGCTCTGGGAAGCTCTCCACATTCACACCCAGCTGCACTGAGAGACTCTGTCTGTGCTCCCATAACGTCCCAATCTCTATTATGACCCCGTACGTTTCATTTCCACCCCCATCTCTGCCAATACCCCAGCTCAGCAGTAAGAGGCCAGACACTCTCAGTAAATGACTTTGGGCCAATTACTGAATGACTGACTCAGGTGTAAGTCCCCCAAAGGACCCCATAAAAGACCCAGCTCTACAGTATTGCCAAGGTTTACAAGACACTGCAGACTAGAGACCAAGTGTCTCCTTTCAGTCTGGTGTGAACATGGAGGTAGAAAAAGGATGCTCTTTCAAGGTCCTGTTACAACCCTTTCTTAGCCTTGGGACCCAAGGGACTCTGCCAGGGCTCTCACGGGGGATAGGAGAAATAATATCTGTCTTCTACTCTGCTTCTGTCCAAGGAGAAGACCTCTTGGCTCCTGGGGAAGACAAGATGCCCAGCAGCCCCATCGCTGGGGGGTTCTGAGCCAGCCCCACCCAGCTGGGTAACAAGGCTGGTCCTCTGGCTGCCAGAATCAGAAGTGGGCTCACCAGCCAGGCACCCTGGGTTGACTGGGGCTCCAAGAGCTGGCGCCAAACTTCTCCGGGAGCTTTGAGCGAGACAAGGGCTTCGGTTTCTCTCTCTGGTTTAGGTCCTGTGGGAGATCTTCCAAGGAAGAGATCTCCAAGTCACTCTCATCCTCAGAAAGCTGCAGGGAGAACAGGGGAAAAGAAAATGCATCTGACCAGGGAGGATGGACATGGGAACAAAATGCAGATTTGGAAGAAAGCAGGAGGGGGTGCTACTCCTCCCATCTTCTCATTTCCATGCCTTTTGAGAACCTGCTTCAGAGACCTGGGGTTACAGCCATTGCAAACACCCCTGAAATTCCACTGGCCATACTGAGGCCAGCCCCAAGGCCTGTAGAAGATCAGGTTGCTCTTGTTGAAATTTAAACTTTGTCCAGATTTTTGAACTGCCCACAGTGACAAAGTCCAGGGACTTCTCCAAACTCCTGAGCTGACACACCAGGGGCTAATGGTGTGTTCCCACCCCACCTGCCACAGACCGCTGGTCCAGGGCTGGGAAACACTCTGACCAAAGGTGCGTGAGGGGAACTCCAAATGCAGGAATCCTTCAGCCTGGAAAAGGTCTGAGCTAGGGCCAACAGGGGAGCCCAGAATGGGCCAAACTCTCAGGCTGTCCCCGAACCAGAATCACGGTCACCCCCACCCCTACCAGAGCTCTCAGTGCCCAGGCCATTTGCCTTGGCATGTAAGGACAACCAATCAGAAACCTCCAGGTGGCAAGCAGGCTCTGGACAGTGCTTCAACCTGCATAGGGCGGTCAGTGCTCTCTTACAACTGAGGATGAATTCTTTTTGAATACATTTTGAATCACTTAAGACTCATTACTCACAAACACACATGAGCTACGTAATAAACTGGACATATTACATAGCACAAGGTGGGTGCTAGGGTTGCCAGGGGAGGTGTATGCTAGGAAAAACCAAAAAGTGATTGCCCATTATTTCTGAATTTTACAGCAATAACATAGGTCATCCTAGGATGCATCTTTCTGATTGAGAAAGGAGTGTAAACTTACAAGAGCTTGAAATGTTTCTGCCTAAGAAAACACAACAGGAATACAGAAGTGGTTCTGTTAGGGGGAGAAGGGAGGTGGCAAGGACATCCTAATGGGAATGGTCTGGGAGGCTGAGCATCTGAGCGATAAATCTGATGGCAGCTGGAGCCGGAGAGAGGCAAGGCCATTAAGACATTCTTAGTGATGAGGAATGGCCTTGGACATCTGGAACAAAGGTGCCTAGTGTCCCCACTGTGTATTATGGAGCAGTCTGCTCTGCACACAGTCCTGTGCTGGCGTCCTCGGGGAGTGAAGAAAGGGGAGAGCTTGGCTGTGGGATGAGCTGGAGTCCAAACAGAGCAGCTACTGCTGGAAGCCAGGCACAGAGCCAGGTCCAGGCCCCATAGAGCCAGAAGTGGGGGCGTGGCTGGGAGAAACAACCCACCGAGCAGTTGTTCACGCAATGAACACAAGGCTTTTTGATGTTAACACAGGACACAAACAACAAGCACTGGAAAGTGGGCATCCCGCCGCTCCTGCAGGGGCAGAGGAGACGAGGGGCATGAGGTCAACGGTCGTGTCGCACATGGCGCGCCCTCAGGCCCAGCCCAGGGCCCCAAGCTTGGAGACTGCAGGGGAGCCTCTAGGTCCTACAGCCTACCTGGGGCTTTCCTCCTGGCACAGCAGCTCTCTGTGGCCCGGCACTGGGCACTGAGAACAGACTGACCCCTCCAGCAGGCTTCTTGGCTGGAGCCTCCAGCTGCTTCTCAAGGTTTCTGACCATCGATTGCACCAGCGTTCCTGGAAGGCAACCAGGGGAGAAGACCAGAGTATGAATGCATCATCCCCATGGGTCACGTCTCAGCTCCAGTGTGGATAAAGGGAGCGTGGAGAAGAGTCCGAAGGGAACAAGGAAGGACAAAGGCAGTAGAAGACAGGCAAGGAGAGAGAGGCCCAGGCCAGCGTGTGCGGGGAAAAGAGGCTTGGAACATCCAGAAATGTACTATGTCCTGAAGAGCATGGCTGGGCACAGAAGCTTAGCAAGCTGCCCTTTCCTCTTAGCAGGAGGAACTGCTGCTCAGTTGGTACATGAACTGCAAGATTAATACGCAGTTTTTCCTTCAACATCTTCACAGAGAAATGAAGAAATATCATCAATATAAATTCACACAGGAGGACTGTGGAGCCAGATCCACTTTCTATGAACTCCACGCAGGAAGGGGGCTAAGCAATGACTGCATTATCAGTGTGAGAAAGCAAGGTGGATGTTCAGACCTCAGGACTGGCCAGGAAGCAGGGAGCCAGCCATGGCCTTTCAGGATTCAAATGTCTGGGGGCCTGAGCAGAGGTCCAGAGAGATGATGACCCTTGGCTCACTGATTGATTAAAAACCAGTTAGTTAAGGGTCTACTATGTTCATACTATGTTCCTTGCCCTTCATCACTCATCTTATCCAGATACCTCCCTTTACAACAAAGGAACCAAAACCCTCCACACCAGTACACAGGGAGCAAGTGACAGAGCCCAAAGTGTGTTCAAGGACTCCACACTCCCAGTTCCTAGATGTTTACGCCCTATCATCCACCTGGCAGGTCATCAGTTCTTCTCCAGAGATCTGGTTCTGGGGGGTTCGATGGGCTGGCAGGCTGGGACCATGCCATGGACAAGATGAAGTTCTGCAGAATTCATAACACTGTAGACTTGGCAGATGGCACAGAACTGGCTTACCCCCCAGCTCGTCCACTTACTGCCTTTGGAAAGACAAAACCCAAGCTCTATATTCTTTAAACTTTGGCTAGAAAATGCAACTGAAGCCAGCAGCTACAAGCCTCGTTAATAGTTCTATAAGAAAACCTTCCTCACCTGAGGAGGCCAGCCCGCCTGAGCCCTTGCCAGGGGACTGGGCACTCCCCTCCGAGGTCTCGGTGTCAGACCAGTCCCAGTTATCCTGCGGCCGGGGCCCCACCCTCGAAGGAACTCTCGGGGGCTGGAGGGACGCATGAGGCCTAGCATCTCCCTCCGAGTCCTCTTCAGAACTGAACGGGGGCGTACTGTCAAGAAGGAGAGGAAATGAGGAGTGCGTGAGCCGGAAGGAAGATGGTCACAGCCACACTTCACCACTTGCAAGCTGGATGGCCCAAGCCAGTTCTGCCCCTGGCACTCCTGGGCCCAGACACCAGCCAGGAGTCATCTGGAGAGGGGCAGCCACCTTCTGTTAGAAGATGAAGACCCAGCCCCTCCAGGGTGGCAACTGGGGCTTGGGGATGGGTCAGTAAGAGGACAGGAGGTTTGCCCTGGCCAGGAGCAAGGGATTCCTGTCTCTTCATGGGTTGGACCCCACCTGAGGCCCCTCTTGCTCACTTCTTTCTGCCCCTCACCTGTCTGCGGAAGCTGGTGGGGGGCCCAGGACAGGGTGGGAGCCACACCACGGACTCTATGAGAATGCAGAGCCCAGCTCACCTCAGCCCAGGCCCTGGGGAAGAAGGGGTGCCAGGGGGTCCAGACGCTCTGGAGCGAGGAGTAGGGGTGGGTCCCGGGGCCAGGCCCAGGCTGTGGCTGCTGCGGCTCTGAAGACTTGTCACGGGGGGCTCTGCCGGCTTGGATGGCTGTGCCACCGGCACGGTCCTGGCCTTTGGCTGGGCCTCTTTGGTGACCAGTGGGCTCTGCTGGCTTTTGACTAGAAACACAGATAAGAATGCATTTCAGGGCACATCCATCTGGACCCTCAAGCCTGAGAGGAGGCAGAGAGAGGCTCCAACACACTGGAAAAGGACAAGTCACTCTGTGCAGTGTACTGCTATAACCACAGCAGATTTAATTATTTCCCCCACCCCAAGTATCCCACTGCCAGCCAGGCCTGGAGCTGGGACCCCCGGTTTCATCAAAGACCAGGAGAGCGACTGGTGTTCCGGGGTCATGTCATCATTCCAGGAGACCTATGGGAGGCAGCAGGTCTAAGGAGGGGCCCAGCGTGTCTGCAGCTCACCCCCGACACAATCCTAGAAGCTGGCCTTGCTAAGGCCGCCTACCCTGTCTACCCAACCCCAGCGGCTGCTGCTGCTCAGGCAGCCTTGCAGGAAGGCCCTGAGGCCACCAGAGGGCACTGTAGGACCACCTGGGCCGTCAAGATCCACACACCTCCTCTCAGAAGGGGCCTGTGGCTGGAGTTAAGGCAGGAAATCAGACACAGCCCCTCCCTCTTCCGAATTATCAGGAGGGCAGAGCGTGGGGAGGGGCGGGCGGGTGGGGGGGGGGGGGCGGTGTTCTGCAGGACCGACGATTTTTTTATACAAAGAGAAGAGCAGAGAAAGTACATCACAGGGAGGCAAAGTAGTACTGTTTCATGAAACTCAAAAGTATGGACTGAGCCACAGCATAAAATGCATTTCTTACTGTATTTCAAAGTTAAAGGTGTTTGAAATGCACTACTCTCGGAGGATGCATTTACACAGAAGTGAGCCTTCTAGGAAAGAGCAAACTAAAGGTAACTGGCTAAAGTAAACTTGCTGAGGGAAAATAATAATAGCTACAGTTACAGTGCACAGACCAAGCTAAGCACTTTACATCCAACATCCATTTAGCCTGACAGGCTTCCAGAGCTTCAGGAACTTGCTCAAGACCCACGATTCCATGGAAGTCCATGGCAGATGCAAACCTAGGGGGTCAGTCACCCCAAATCTCGGGCTTTTGCCACTGCCTGGGCTACATCCCCCAGCTTTGCCCCCAGACAAAAGAGGCACGGTCTGAGCAGAGACGGGAGGTGCGTATTTGTATAAAACTCCTGGGGACTAGAAAGAGAGCACGTGGGTGCAGAGCCAGAAAGTGGTCTAAGAAAGGCCGAGATAACAGAGCTCATCCCACAGGTCAGTAACGGGCCCTGAGAAGGCAGGACCCAAGGCCAGGGAAGGGGAGACAGACAGTGGGGGGCAGGGATGCTCCTACCCCAGGCTCTGGGACCACAGGCACAAGCGCTGGGGGAGGGGGTGGCACCACAAGAGCAAGAAGCCTTTCTCTTCTCTTGGAAACCAGGACTCAGAGGGGCTTCCATCCACCCCCATCCCCACCCCTGGGGCCTGTCCCCTCTCCTCTGAGCTGCCCTGGCCTATGCTGGACCCCATCACATCATCTAGTTCTGGCTGGTTTCCAGCTGAGGGGCAGGCCCTGGCCCAGATCAACTTCAGTAAAGTGAAAAGTGAAAGTCTCTCAGTCGTGTCTGACTCTTTGTGACCCCTTGGACTACGGCCCACCAGGCTCCCCTGTCCATGGAATTCTCCAGGCAAGAATACTGGAGTGGGTAGCCAAACATTTCTCTAGGGGAACTTCCCGACTCAGGAATCGAACCTGGGTCTCCTGCATTGCAGGCGGATTCTGTACCAGCTGAGCTACCAGGGAAGCCCAATCTCAGTAAATACTGCACTAAATTAAACAAATTAGGAATGAAGGAACATTTGAGGCAGAAGTCTTTGTGACAAATCTCCTTCAATTGAGATTTCTGTGCGAGACTGAAAACTATCCTTTCCTTAGAGATTTTAAGGTCAGGTGTTTAAACCAAATAGAACAGAGTTACCCAGACCATTGATACAATTTTTACTGTATTCTCATACTAACTGTCCTGTTTTCTATGTAACATTTTTATAGAAAATGATACCACTTTTAAACATAAAATTCCCACTTTATACTTACTCAAGTAATCATTTCCATGAGCTTTCAGGGTTGCTATGTTAGTAATATTTTTCAAATGTACATGAAGAAAAATAAAGATTAAATCTTAAAATTATTGATTCATGTACCAAATAACTAAAATATAGATAGCTAAAATTATCCCGCATACCTCCCAGAGATGTGTGGACCACACTCTGGAAACTTCCTTTGCACAAAGAGCTCAGTTGGGTCTGCCTGGACATGAGGAGATAACAAAAGTGACCCTCCTCTGACCACATACACCCATGACTGCAAGGAGCTAGGGCATCATCCTGCATGAGGATCTGGGACCCCTCTAGAAGACGGGGGCTCCTATTGCAAAGACACAATTCCCTTGCTTCCTAAGTTCCTTGAGGACAGAGACCAGAGGGCCCTCACCCACATACTTCAGTCTTCCACAGGAACCACACACAGGCCTTTCCTTGTCACAACCCCCAGGGACAAAGCAGCTGGCTCACCCAGGGAAGGAGTCTGAGCTCTGAGGATGTGTCCGCCTACTGAACTGGCCCAGCCTCTCACACCCTCCCACTGCTCTAGGGCAGAATATTCCATTTGATTGACCCTTGCTTTCATCTGCAGTCCCTGCGCTGACAACACTCTGTTGGAGCCAAGTTCAGCCTGTGGTCCAAGCAAGCAAAACAGTGCAGAACTGAGCTGCTGAGGAGGCCCTGTGTCTGAGCAGGGACAGCGGTCCTGGTTCTCTGCTTCTCTGAGGGACCCAGGTGACCACCCCACCCCTAGACCCTGTTTTTCCAACAGAGGTCTTTTGGACTCAGCCATCTGCAAGAGCCCTATTGTCTGGCCCTTCTGAGCAATGAGCAATGCCCCGATGAAGACAGATATTATATCCTCCTCCGCAAATGCAAACAAGCCTGGACCCTCCCAGCTCCCAGTCCTAAGCAGGCCCTCTTGCCAGCTCACCTGGCACCTCACCCTCTGGCTGGGACACCGGGGCCCCGTTCCTCTGTCTGTCCTTCACTCTGCTGGTGGCTTCCTTAATGAGCTTCTCCCTCAGGCTCAGAAACTCGGAAAACCTCCTGGCCTTCTGCTCCCGCTGGGTTCGCAGGATGGACTCCAGGTGTCTGAGGGTCTGAGCGGGGATTCCCTTGGCATCCTGGAAGACACAGAGGTTCCCTTTGGAGATGGGCTCCCCTGCTCCTTCCCTCGGCCTCTCACACCTGCTGCTGGCCTGGGAGTCGCTGGGATCCGTGCTGGTGCCTCTGGGAGAGGATGAGCTGAGCATCCGGGCAGGGCGAGCAGGTTGCTGAAACGGAGGTGGGCTAGGGCTTGGGAGCCCCAGCAAAGCACGAGTGGAAGGATGATGCAGAAGGGCTATGCACAGTTCTATCAACATCAAGCATACAGGCTGAGATGGGCCATGCCTCTCCACTATCCTTGTGGGAGAGCGGGGTTTGCTCCTTTCTGTACTTGCATTATCATTTGGCCAGAAACATTGTCCTCCGTGGCTGACAATGGCTGAAAACATCAGCTGCAAAAAATCGAAGCCAGGCACCCTTCCAACATTTATTGGAAGTTTCTTGGGCTTTTGACATCCACCCTTGAGGAATAATTTAAGATTAGAAGAAATTTTTTAATCAAGTCTGAACATAAGGCCAAAGTTAGATTGAGCAGCAGTTGAAAAAAGTCAATGATTAGGGAGCATCTTTGCTAAAGTAAACCTAGGTGTTTGGGTTTTTTTCTTACTTTACTCTATACACACAGTATCCTCAATGATGTGATATGCCAGCTGCCTTAGTAACAAGGTGGGTGTTTTTAATCATGGATTTCACTGATGCCTTTAATTATAATATGCATACTCTGGTTGAACAGTAGAATGAGAAAACAATGGTGTTTAAATATTAATTTGTACCAGATAGGGCTTTCAGAGCCTGCTCCACCCACAGCCACCTCTGCGTGGGCATGGCCACGGGTACCACTGATAATGGACAGTTCACCCTCCAAAGGCCAGATTGAGCCAATTAAATTCCCCTTGTCAGAAAATGGAGACATAGTAGTTTGGAGCACGTATGGTCCCTTTGTCCAGGAGAAGATGGGACATCTTGTTTAATAGTTCCACCAAGACTATCTAACTGTAATTTGTCAAAATAATATCAATATGAAAAGTGAAAGTATTAGTCACTCAGTTGAGTTTTTTGGCAACCCCATGGACTGTAGCCCACCAGGGGGCTCCTCTGTCCATGGAATTCTCCAGGCAAGAATACTGGAGTGGGTTGCCATTCCCTTCTTCAGGGGATCTCCCTAACCCAGTGATCAAACCCAGGTCTCCTGCATTGCAGGTGGATTCTTTACCATCTGAGCCACTAGGGAATTCCTTGTTCACTTAATGTCTACCATCAGACCTGGACCTTCAAACTAAGGCACATCCCCTTATTATTCATTCTTATAGCATCCAATACTTCACTTGCAGAGCATTTCACAATGTTAAATTATTAAATTTCTGGACAACCATTGTCTAGTATTTGAGTTCCCTACCATCTATAAACTCCATGAAAAAAAGTTTCAGTTCTAATTCATCACTGTATTCTCAGCATGCGTGTGTGCTAAGTCACTTCAGTTGTGTCCGACTCTTGTCGGACTCCTCTGTCCATGGAATTCTCCAGGCAAGAATACTGGAGTGGGTTGCCATTTCCTTCTCCAGTTTTCTCAGAACCTAGTACAACAGTTAGTTTGCATAAAGGTGCTCGATAAACATTTACTGAATATGTGAATGACAGCAAAGAAAAAGAAAGAGAGACACAGAGAAAGTAGCCAATGAGTGGAGAGCACGGGGAGGCCAGGACATGGGGTGACAGCTCAGGAAGCCACTGGGGGAAACAGGAGAGACCACAGTGCCGGCTGTGTAGGCTTACGTTCCCGGACACCAAGGGTGCCCCACTGGAACGAATGAGATGAGTAAGATTACATGACGAAGAACAATTGAGCCTTTGTTGGTTTCAGAACGCCCTGTGTCCAGACGGCAGGTGCGGCCCTGCCTTGGTGGTGCCGGAGCTCACTCTCTTTATCCCCATGCTTTCCAGCTTCTCCTCCAAGGTGTCCTCCAGGACTGGTCTGAGCTGCTTCAGCAAGGCTGGGTTTCGCCTCAGGGCTTCCAGCACCTTCTGCTGTCCACTGTGGGAGTCCTCCAGCTCTGCAGCACAAGACAACCACAAAGGTCAGCCGGGGTGCCCAGAACCTCCGCTCCCAGAGCCCCAGGGCACCCAGCCAGGAATCATGGTCTCCAGCCTATGACCCAGGGCCACAGACCCCACCTGAGTGTCCATCCCCAGGTTGTTCCTCTGAGAATCACGGCAGCAGACCCTCAACCCATCTTTGGGACCCTCATCCCCTGGACCTTCAAGATCTGGCTCAGTCCTGTCCCAGGCTGACTCAGAGCTTTCGGGGTTTTGATTCCCAACAGCAGCTTGTTTCCTGGGCTCCACTCTTCCTCCTCTCTCTCCTCACCCAAATTTATTGAGTATAATTGACATACAGCATTGTATACATTTAAGATGTACAGCATAATGATTTGATTCACATTCATGATATATGTATACACATATACATAGGACAGACAGCTGCCTGCTCCCCTCGAGTCTATTGTCTAAATCATGTGTTCTCCCTCCAACTAAATACAGTAGAATTGCATGGGTTTAAAGTACAGATTCTCTGGCCCCACCTTCCAGAGTCTGATTCCACGGATCTGGGGAAGGGCCCTGCATTTTAACTTGCTCAGATGATTCTGATGGAGGTGAGCCACAGACCACTCCTTAAGAAATACTGACCCAGTGTGCATGCGTGCTGAGTAGCTTTAGTCATGACCAACTCTTTGCAACCCCATGGACTGTAGCCCACCAGGCTCCTCTGTCCATGGGACTCTCCAGACAAGAATATTGGAGTGGGTGGCCATGTCCTCCTTCAGGGGATCTTCCCGACCCAAGGATCGAACCTGCGTCTCCTGCAACTCCTGCATTGCAGGCTGATTCTTTACCACTTAGCCACTGGGGAAGACCTACTGACCCAGAGGGTAACAAAATAGGCAATTAAAATAAAATGTGATTACTGCTATAAAGGGGCTGTCCAGGGTGAGCCAGGGAAGACCTCCCAGAAGTGCTCTTCAGGTCTAATGCCAGGGGCCACTATGGTTAGAGGTGGACCAGCCTACTGACAAGTAATATGAGTGTGAACAGGCCAGCACTGGGGACACAGAAGAAAACCCTCAAGGAGCTCAAAGTCAAGTAGTAATTTTATCCTTTGGTTGCATATTTGAAACACCTGGGCTCCATCCCAAGCTAAGTATATCAGAATCTTAAGAGGGTCAGCCCCAGGCCTTAAGATCTATTTGTGAAACTTCCCAGTTCTAACAGCCATGCCTGAAGACCAATTGGTCTAGAGCAGCAGTTCTCAAAGTGTGAGCCACGGTATGGGAGCCACCTGTCACTTATTAAAAACACAGATTCTCAGATCCCCACTCCAACCTGTGTGTTAGTTGCTCAGTCGTGTCTGACTCTTTGTGACCCATGGACTATAGCCCACCAGGCTCTTCTGTCCATGGAATTCTCCAGGGAAGTTGCCATTTCCTACTCCACCACTTCAACCTGACTGAATCGAGACTTCAGGAGGTAGAGCCCAGCAATCTGTGTTTTAACAAGTCCTCCCTCGCCCCCAGGGTTGAATTATCTGCTGAGTCTGCACAAGGCATGATCCCCAACTTGGCTGTATACTGAAATCACCATTGGAGATTTGTGTACAACTGATGCCCGAAGCCCTGCCCTGCGTGTGGTGATCGAGGCAGCAGGCGGCTGCTGTGCTCCTCCAGAGAGTTGCAAGCAGCCCGGGAGATTCTTAGTGTGTGACCATCGCAGAGAGCTGTGGGACCCACAGAGGTCCTCAAACTTGAGCAGGCACCGGAGTGCCCAGGAGGGCAGGTGCAGACAGAAATAGCTAGGCCCTGCCCCAGAAGTTCTGATTCAGTCTGTGCGGCCTGGGACCGAGAATTTGAAAATCTGCATTTCTAGCCAAGTTACCAGGGGATGCTGCTCCTGCTAGTCTGACACTAGAAGTGGAAAAGCCAAGTAAAGAGGAACAGCAGAGTCTGACCAAGGTCTGGGTCCTCCCTGCAACGTGATGGGGTGTGGAGGAGGTGGGGAGGCGTCTCGCTCACTCAGTGTCCACCTCCTAGAACACTGTGTCCCCACTGGAGGATTTAGTTCATCCTCACTGTGGACCTTGTGTTACTCAGGGTTACCTGTAACTTATTTTTACTACTATATTCCAAGGTTAAGTGCACTGGGGCGGGATGGTAGCAGAGGACTAAATTTTGGTTCACCCATCCGATGGAGTACTGTGAAGTCCTGAAAAAATAATGGAGCAGTTCTATATAAAGGGATAAGAAATGACCCCCCAAATAAGTTGTTATGAAACAACCATAGAACAATATGTACACTGTGCTCCCATTTAGGAAAAAGGAAAAGAATGCATACATGTACGTGCTTGTGTTTGCACCACCTGCTGCCCTGTCACTCTGGGCAACTCACTGATCTTCTCTGAGCCAGGGAGAACCAGGAGGTTGCACATGTGTGCCTTCATGTAATGTGCCTGACAAGCACAGGGTGCTTAAGAAATATTTTACTTCATATCCCTAGTTCCCTGCACCCAGATTCAGGCAGCCAGATCCAGTTACATAGAGACAAACTCAACAATGAAGAGGGCAGCCCCCAGGGAAGAAACTGGAGCCTCACCTTCCTCGGAAGAGTCCGCATCTGTGTCCACAGTCTTCGGGCCCTCACGGATCCCTGAGAAGAGCAGGAGTAGTTAGTGTCGCCAGGGCCTTGGGCCCCACCCCCACCTCAAAGAAGAGCACAGGACAGCATGTGAGTGCAGGCCACAAAGAGCAAGGACTCGAGTCAGTCCTCCAGCAGACAGAGGAAGGATGAAGCAGTGATCACAACCATGACCTTGGAGGCAGAAAGATCAGAATCCACATTCCAGCTCTGCCCCTCACTAGCTGCCCATGACACAAGTCCTTGAACTTCTCTAAGCCTCAGGTGCCTCTTCTAGAAAGTGAGGACAGTCATACCCCCCATCCCTCACTAAAGTGTGGAGACAAAGTGCTGAGACAATGGATCTGAAGTCTATGACACACAGTTCTCATTAATGGTTCACCCCAGCCCTGGGCTTCCCAGGTGGCTCAATGGTAAAAAAAAAAAAAAAAATTGGCTTGCCAATGCAGGAGACGCAAGAGATGCATGTTCGATCTCTGGGTTGGGAAGATCTCCTAGAGTAGGAAATGGCCTACCCATCCCAGTATTCTTGCCTAAAGAATTCCATGAACAGAGGAGCCTGGTGGAGTCACAAAGAGTTGGACGCGACTGAGCAACTGAGCACGCACAGACACACACGCCCCAGCCCCAGCACTCAGATCACAGCCATAGAACGGCGCCTCTCCGAACTGGTTGCAAGACTGCAAAAGAAACATCTAACCTCAAGGCAGAGGATGGGGAAGATGTGTGGGTTTGCCAGAAAAGGCAGAAGGGAAGCTACAGACATAGGGCAGCAGAGGTGGGGTGGAGTCAGAAGGTTTCACAAGGGGTAGCAAGGTCCTCCAAGCAGGCTGGTCCCCTATAGGTTACTGTCGCCCTTTAGACATCAGCACCTGCATCTGTCAGACACACACACTAAGAAGCACGCACACAAGACGAGGAGGGTAGACTCTCTAGACAGGCATATTCACAGAGATTTGGGGTCAACTTGCTGCAGGATGGAAACAAGGTAAAGCTGGATGGAACTGAATCACAGTTGTGGTGAATTCACAAGCCCTGCCACTCCATCCATCACCTCCCGCCCAGGATTCCCTCACACCACCCCATCCCTCACCCCACTTCACGTCTCCCTCATCCTACAGAGAAGAGCAGGCCAGGCAAGAAACCCTGCTACCTGCACAGAGTGCCTTCAGCATGAACTGGGCTAGAGCCCTGTCTGTCCTGGAAACAAGCATCTTCTCACCCTCCCTTGTCCAGCCAGAGAGCCTGACGCCACAGGTCCCTGAGCAGCTGCCACCATCCTCATCCTATACATTGACTGGTATAGCATGACAGAGATAGAGGAGGGGACCAGAGGCAGGAGAGACAGGAGACAGGAGAGGCCGAGACAACAGACTTACCCTCCACCTTCCGGAGAGACATGGCCTGCATCTGCAAAGACATGGAACAAAGCAAGTTACACCCAGCAGGGGGCTCTGCTGTGAGCGGTGGGGCTGCCTAGCTCTGTGAAGAAGGGACGGCCAGTGTTTCCACACCATCCACTGGGAGCTGGAGCTCAGAATACTCTGCCCCAGCCCCACAACACACCTCCTGCCATGCAGATGTGAGGGCAGGACACCAAGACTGAACAGTGGCAGTCAGGTTGACACCATGCTCCATTTCCCCATGGTGGGGAGTCAAGAAGGCCCCTCTATAGAGAGGGACTGTGGCCTGAAGCACAGGAGCCCCACGCAAGCAGAGGGGCACAAGCACAAAAGTAACCTCAGCCAGGACCAGGGAGGCTCCACTCCTGAGATGTGGGCCTCTGAGCTGAGTGCCCCCTGGGGGAGGGGGCAGGATGTAAACAGTCACTGACTCTCTGCTCAACCCCTCTTCTCCAGGAAGTGCCTCTTCTTCCTTGGTTTACATAGTCGCAGACAGGACAGCCCCTTGTGACGACGTGACCCCCACACCACAGCCATAGCTGACTGTCCAGGTTTGGGCAGAGAATTCTGGATTGGTAACATGTGGACTCAAGAGCTCTGGGCAGCTAACTGGGTTGAGTTTTTATTTTCTTTGTTTTGCCACATGGGGCAGACATGGAATAGAAGCTGACCTTCATAGGAAAAATCAAAACAGTTACAGAAAAAGGAACAGAGACATATCACAGAGCAATGACTTGACCACATTTCATGTCTTTGGATTCAGTTTATTCCTAGACTTAGCTGTTCCCCTGCCTTGAGTTTTCTAAGAGACCTTATCTAACCTTATGACAAATCTCCTCTTCTGCTTAGGCTTGAGTTGTTTTTCACTACTTACTGATGAATGATTCATCCAATGTCCATTTCTATTCCTCCTTTGCTTACCTCTATCCTAGAAAGTATAAAGCTAATTATTTCTTTTCTAACCTTCCTCACAACTATAGTTTCCACAGTTTTGACTAGTAAAATATAAGTAGAAGCCTTGAGAAGAGCCTCTCATCAACTTTTTCCATTGAATATGGTTGTGATGGTTGGGGCTATGGCAGCCATTTTGCAACTATCAGAGTCAAGCGTAAGTCAATAGGCTAAAGTGAAAATGAAAGTGTTAGTCACTCAGTCACTGACACTTTGCAACCCCATGGACTATAGCCCATGAGGCTTCTCTTTCCATGGGATTCTCCAGGCAAGAATACTGGGGTGGGTTGCCATTCTCTTCTCTAGGGGATCTTCCTAACCCAGAGATCAAACTGGGGTCTCTCAAATAGCAGGCAGATTCTTCACCATCTGAGCCACCAGGGAATATGCTAAAGATGGCAATAAAAATAATAATAATAACAGTCTAGAATTCCAATGGCATAATGTTGCTGCTAAATCGTGACCTCTTTTGGTGTTACAATAAAAATAAACACCCGTTAACCTATTCTGTTATATTTAGCCAGTGGGTTCCTAACTGAAACAACTATAAATTAGAATTCTGGTAACAAAAGGAGGAAACCTCCAGGCAGCCACAGCTTTGAAGAGCTAAATGTGTTATGGGAAGTAGTAAAAAGAAAAGCAGCAAGGAAGTGGGTTAGATATGTTGACAGCTGGAAGCACAGAAAGGCACAAATAGCAAGAGGTATAGGAACAGTGGATTAAATAATGACAGTGGGTGTTCCGCCCAGGAAAGCTATGGGGAGGGTGGTTCATGGCAAGGACCTGAGGCCCAGCTGGGGACAGATACATGTCTCCACGGACCTGGGACTCAGAAAGGGAAGCTACATCTGGGCTGAGCAGAGAATGATCCACATCAGATGAAGAGTTAGAGGGGCGAGTTTTAGAAGAAGGGTGCTTAGTAAGTGATGCCTTCTCGTCATACTAGCTTATCTAACAACCTCCTCAGAGGCTGTTAACTTATGAAAAAGGAAATTAGTTAATAAATGGTGTCTGAGAACACAGTGAAAGGAGCACAGGTTTCGTATTCCACCTACCTGGGCTAGGGTTGACTCTCACCCCTGTCATTTATAACCTGCACTGTGTAGACTCAAGTGAGGTGCTTAACTTCTCCAGCCTGTCTCATCCTCTGTCAAAGTACGCTGGGGAGAAGGTAATGTCTACCTTGAAAGGCAGCAGTGAGGTTTACATGGAGGAATAAGCAAAGTATCAACCAGGCGCTGGCACTCACACGGTCTCTGCTGGTACTGGGAACCCACCAACACAACCCCTCAGGACAGCAGTCACGTCTTCCACATCCTCATCACTTTCTGCCCCTCAAGTCTGAGGGCTCTTCCCTCTCCTCAGAGCCCCTAACTAATGAGACTGGAGCCAACAAGTCCAAGAGACTCTAAGGAGATCCTCACAGGGACGGGGTCTATGGCTCCAGGTCCCGGCTGGGAGCGGGGACACACCTACCATCTCCTCCTGGGAGGCAATGAGCCTGGCTTGTTCCTGGAGCTGGGAGCGGAGGGCACTGATCTGGCGCTGGGCCTGGGCGGCTGCTTTCCTCTGATCCTGAGACAGGGTAGCCTGGAGCCTCTCGTTCTGCTCCTGCAGCTGGCGGCACAGGGTGGCTGGTCAGTCACCTGTCTGCAGTGACCTCTGGGAGCTCAGAGCCTGCAGGGCCTGCTCCTGTGGGCAAACGCTGGCTGGAGTTCCACCTGAAGTAGGTGGAGGGTTTCCAGACCTGGGCAAGTAGCTTTCCAGCAAGACTCACTCCCTTCCTATTCGAGGACGTTTTAAGTGGTACCCGAGGAGAAGTGAGAATTGAGTGCAGGCCCCTGAGGTCAGGGCAGAGGCTCTCTGTCAGGTGTGTCACCCACAGGAGGACAGTCAGGTAAGCTGAGGTCATTCAAAAATCATCAAATGGGCACTTTTAGGTGAAGACAAAAGATGAAGGAAATGTGGTTACAAGCTACCTCTGATCTAAGAGCAGAGAGAAAATGACACCACTTATTTCTGCATAAAGAACCTCTAGAAGAATACAAGAATGCACTAAAAGTGGTCACCTGTGGGGTGGGTGTTGGGGATGGGTAGGTGGAAATGGGGCAGAAGTGAGACTTTACTCCATGTATCTTAATATAGCTCTTCTGCTTTTTGGAATAAACTTGAATGCATTTCCCATTTTTGAATTTTTCAAATAAGATAAACTTATCAGGGACTTCCTTGGTGGTCCAATGGTTGAGACGCTCCACTCCCAATGCAGGGGCCAAGCGTTTGATCCCTGGTCAGGGAACTAAGATCCCACAAGCTGCATGGAACAACCAAAGAATAAATACATAAAGATTTTTTTTTAAAGATAAACTTATCAGATGGGAACCATTTGAATGGGGGGCCATCCACCATGCACCAGACTCAGATCTAAGCACTTTTACCTTCCGAGCTTTCTGAAGCAGAACCTAGCTTCTTAACTGGCTTCATCCTCCACTTGCCTTATCCTCGGGGACATTTTTATAGAAGCTGGTTTCTCTGTCCTGAGGACCACTGGTCTCTCCCCACTGGTCTCAGTGTCTGAACCCTTCCGTTTGAGCTGCCCCTGAACTATCGCTGAGGTCCACAACCAGCTGGATCTCTCCTGGGTGGGGTTTCAAAGGAGGGCCCAAACACTGAATGACCAGGCAATTCTCTGAGTTTTAAAGAACAGCCCTACTTAGAGAGCCTTAAGGGGTCAATGAAGAAAGGAGAAAGGACGTGCTGGACTCAGAAGAGAAGGCCTAGAGGCACCTGCTTCCAGCCAGGGAAGCAGCCGTCTGGGCAGCTGCCCCTCTGTGTATTGACGGGGCTCAGCAACGAGGACCCATGTCAGCAACAAAATATCTGCCAACCAGTTCAAGGCAGGGGGCAAAGGACGGGGGGCTAAAGGATGAAAGGAAGTCATGGGAAACCAGGCTCCCCAAGACAGTCCGGTGAGACCCACCTCTCTCTGCTGAGCTGCATGCTCTTCCTGCAGTGCCTTCATTTTCCTCCTCCATTCTGTTTTCTGAAACAGATTAAATGCCTTTTGAATGGGCCCCTCTAGATATTAAAATATAGTACAAAGCTTAAAGAATTAAAATGTACTGACTCACAGAGTAGGCAAAAAGAGCAGTGAAAAGACTAGAAAGCCCAAAGATGGGCAGGGGGAAATGGAATCTACTCTGGGGGGGAAGATGGATTATTGACAAATGGTGTTCAAACAAGTAGTTAACTACTTGAACCTGGATTGCAAAACAATATGAACTTGTATCCTTATTTCACATCTTAAATGAAAACAAATTCTAGGTGGTCAAAGATTTCATCTTAAAAAATGTAAGAGATGTCAACAAGATGATGGACTAGTAGGTTCCAGTTCTCAAAATACCCACAGATTAGAATACTTTTATGAGAGCTCGGGAATCCAGCTAGAGGTCCTAGCACCTTGATGAAGCAAAAAATCCAAGAGTGGATACATTGAAGAATAGTTTCACCTTACCTGTGTTACCCTTCACCCAAGACAGCACAACTAAGTGCTAAGAGAGACCCCCTCAGCCCACAATCTCTCCCACAAGGAAAGTGAGTGCAAGTGAGCACTCGACTGCCCAGGGCTTGAAGGATGCTGCCCAGGAGGCCCACTTTTGTCTCACTCCACCAGAACTGAGGGAATCGACATAGATGAATCAGTTTTCAGCGCTGGCACACAGATCTCAACGCCAGCTTCAGATCCTACTGGCTAGCTTGTGGACACCAGAAGGTGTGGAGGAAGAGAAGTAAAAGTGTAGACTATTTGTATGCAATCAAAGTTAAGTTGTTTCCAGCTTAAAATAGAGTGCTGTAATTATAAGATATTTTATGACTAGAAAAGGTTAGTTTTCATTTCAATCCCAAAGAAAGGCAATGCCAAAGAATGTTCAAATTACAATAGAATTGCACTTATTTCATATGCCAGCAAGATTATGCTCAAAATCCTTCAAGCTAGGCTTCAACAGTACATGAACTGAGAAATTCCAGATGTATAAGCTGGATTCAGAAAAGGCAGAAGAACCAGAGATCAAATTGCCAATATACGCTGGATCATAGAAAAAGCAAGGGAATTCCAAAAAAATCTACTTCTGCTTGATTGACTGTGCTAAAAGCCTTTGAGTATGTGGATCACAAGAAACTGCGGAATATTCTTAATGAGATGGGAATACCACACCACTTTACCTGCTTCCTGAGAAACCTGTATGCAGGTCAAGAACCAACAGTTAGAACCAGACATGGAACAACAGACTGGTTCAAAATTGGGAAAGGAGGCTGTATATTGTCACCCTGCTTATTTAACTTATATACAGAGTACATCATGTGAAATGCCAGGTTGGATGAATCACAAGCTGGAATCAAGATTGCTGGGAGAAATATCAATAACTTCAGATATGCAGATGATACCACTTCAATGGTAGAAAACAAAAGAGGAACTAAACAGCCTCTTGATGAAGGTGAAAGAGAAGAGTGAAAAAGCTGGCTTAAAACTCAACATTCAAAAATGGTATCTGGTTCCATCACTTCATGGCAAATAGATGGGGAAAAGTGGAAATAGTGACAGATTTCATTTTATTGGGCTCCAAAATCACTATGAATGGTGACTGTAGCCACAAAATTAAAAGACGCTTGCTCCTTGGAAGAATAGCTATGATAAACCTAGATAGTATATTAAAAAGCAGAGACATCACTTTGCCGACAAAGGTCCATATAGTCAAAGCTACGATTTTTTTCAGTAGTCACGTATGGATGTGAGAGCTGGACCTTGAAGAAGGCTGAGCACCAAAGACTGATGCTTTCAAACTGTGGTACTGGAGAAGACTCTTGAGAGTCCCTTGGACAGCAATAAGATCAAACCAGTCAATCCTAAAGGAACTCAACTCTGAATATTCATTGGAAGGACTGATGCTGATGCTAAAGCTCCAATACTTGGGCCACCTAATGTGAAGAGCTGACTCACTGAAAAAGACCCTGATGCCAAGAAAGACTGAGGGCAAGAGGAGAAGGGGGCTATAGAGGATGAGATGATTGGGTGGCATCACTGACTCAATGGACATGAGTTTGAGCAAATTCAGGGAGATAGTGAAGGACAGGGAAGCCTGGCATACTGCAGTTCATGGGGTCACAAAGAGTTGGACACGACTTAGTGACTGAACAACAACAACAAATACTAATTATAAAGAAAAAACTGTAGCAGATAAACAAAAGAGAAAGAGAAAGGAATCAAAGTATACACACACACACACACAAAATCATCAACTCACAAAGAAAGACAGCAAGAGAGAAAGAAAGGGACAAAGTAACTACAGGACAATCTGAAAACAACAAAATGGCCAATAGCAAATCCTTTTTTATTGGCAATTACTTTAAATTTAAATGGACTAAACTCTCCAACCAAAAGATTTAAAGTGGCTGAATGGATTTTAAAAGCAAGATCCAACTATATGCTGCCTACAAAAGACAGCTTTAAGGACACATATAGGCTGAAACCGAAGAGATGAGAGAAGACATTTCTGCAAATGGTAAACAAAAGAGAACAGTAGCTGTATTTATAGCAGACAAAATGGCCTTTAAGTCAAAAATTGTTATAAGAGACAAAAAAGGTCATTATATAATGCTAAAGGAGTCAGTTAATCAGGAGGATATAAAATTGTAAATATACAGTCAGTCCTCCGTATCAGTGGATTCCACATCTGTGTATTCCACATCCAGGGATTCAATTAACTGTGGATTGAAAATATTTGGAAAAAAATTCTGGAAAGTTCCAAAAGCAAACTTGAATTTGCTTCATGCTAACAAACACGTACAGAGCATTTACGTTGTAGTTACAATAAGTTACACAGAATTTACATTGTAATTAGGTATTATAAGTAATTTATAAATTATATAAAGAATTTAAAAATGATGTGTGTGAGTTATATGCAAAATATAAGGGACTTGACTATCTGAGAATTTTGGCATCTATAGAGGTTCCTGGAACCAGTCTCCTATGGATGGATACTGAGGGATGGCTATGTATTCACACAACATATGAGCATCTAAATATATAAAGCAAATATTAACAGAAATGAAGGCAGACACAGACAGTAATATAGTAACAGTAGAGGATTTCAATACTCCACTTTCAACAATGGATATATCATCCAGACAAAATCAATAAGTAAACAATGGACTTGAACAACACTATAGAACAAGTGGACTGAACAGACATACACAGAACATTCTATCCAAGTAGCAGAATACACATTCTCCTCAAATGCCCAAAGCTATTCCCTAAAATAGATCATAAAACAAAATTTTGCCAATTTAAACTTGAAATCATATCAAGTTAATCTTTTCTAACCACAAAGTTATGAAACTAGAAATGTATAATAGGAGAGAAACAAGAAAATTGTTTCTTGTGTGATCTACACAAATGTGTAGATATTAAACAAGACATTCTTAAACAAAGAAGAAATCAAAAGAGAAACCAAAAAATAACTTGTGACAAAAAAAAAATGGAAACACAACATACCAAAATTTCTAGGATGCAGGAAAAGCAGTTCTAACAGAGAAGTTTATAGTCATGAACTTTTCCATTAATAAAAAAGAAAGATCTCATATAAACATTCTAACGTTATACCTCAAGAAAAAGAAGCACAAACTAACCTAAAGCTGGAAGAAAATAATAAAGATTATATCAGATGTAAATGAAATTGAGAATAGAAAAACAATAAAAAAGGTCAACAAAAGTAAGAGTTAGGTTTTTGAAAATATAAACAAAATTAACAAATCCTTAGCTAGATTAAGAAAAAAAGAAAAATCTCAAACATAAAACCAGAAATGAAAGAGGAGACATTACAACTGATACTATAGAAATGCACAGGATTACAAGAAACTTTTATAAACAATTACTAATAAGTTGGACAGTCTAGAAATATAGACAAGTTGCTAGAAACACACAATCAACTAAGGCTAAATCATAAAAAAAAAAAAAAAAAAAAAAAACAGAAAATCTGAACAGACCAATAATGAGCTAGGAGATTGAATCAACAATCAAAAATCTCCCAACAAAAATGCTGAAACTGATGGCTTCACTGGTGAATTCTACCAAACATTTAAAGAACTAATGCAAATTCTTCTCAAATTCTTCCCCAAAATTGAAGAGGAAGAAACACTTTCAAACACATTTTATGAGGTCATTACTACTCTTGTCAAATGCCAGACAAGGACACTATAAAAATTATTACAGGCCAATATCCTTAATGAACATAGATACAAAAATACTCTATAAAATACAAGCAAACCAAATCTAACAGCACATTAAAAATACCATACAACATGAACAAGTAGGATTCATCCCAGGATATAAAAATGGTTCAACATACACTAATCGATGTATGTGATACAGTACGTAAACAAAATGAAGGATAAAATTACATGATCATTTCAATAGATATAGAGGAAGCATTGGACAAAGTCAACATCCTTTCATGATAAAAACTGTCATCAAAGTGGGTATAGAAGAAATGTACCTCAACATAATAAAGGCCATATACAAGCCCAGAAGTAACATCATACTCAAAAGTGAAAAGCTGAACATTTTTCCTCCAATATCAGGAACAAGACAAGATGCTCACTCTCACCATTCTTATTAACATAGTATGGAAGTCCTAGCCAGAGCACTGAGACAAGAAAAAAGAAAAAAAGAGATAAAAGGCATCCACATTGGAAAGGAAGGAGTAAAATTATCTGTTTGCAGATGAGATGACCTTATAAATAGAAATTCCTAATGACTGCACCAAAAAAAAAAAAAACTGTTAGGATAAAAAAATTCAGTAAAATCAGCATGCAAAAGGCAGCTGCATTTCTCTACACTAAAGACAAACTATCCAAAAAAGGAATTAAGATAACTGTCCCATTTACAGTAGCATCAAAATTAATTAAATACTTAGGAATAAATTTACCCAAGATGGTGAAAGATCTATAAGTACACTGAAAATTCTAAAACATCAATGAAATAAATTGTAGAAGACAAATAAATAGAGATATTTCATGCTCATGGATTGGAAGAATATTGTTAACATATCCATACAATCTTAAGATACCCATTCAATCCTAAAATTCATGTGAAACCACATGGCCAAAGCAATCTTGAGCAAGACAAAACTAGAGGCATCACTTCCTAACTTCAAATTATATTACAAAGCTATAGTATTTATCAGTGTGGTAGTGGTATAAAAATAGACACATAGACCAATGGAACAGAGACAAAACCCAAAATTAAACCCACATATGTATGGTCAACAAATCTTTGACAATGGCACCCAAGATACAAAATAGAGAGAGGATTGTCTCCTCAGTAAACGGTATTAGAAAAAATGGATATCAACATGCCAAAGAATGAAATTGGACCAATACCTTATACCATACACAAAAATCAACTCAAAATGGATTAAAGACTTAAATGTAAGATCTGAAACTCTAAAACTCCTAGAATAAAAGAGGGACATTGATCTTATCAATGATATTTTTTGGATGTGATGCCAAAGGCACAGGCAACAGAAACAAAAATAAACAAATAGGACTTTATCAAACCAATGTTTCTACATAGTAAAGGAAACCATCAACAGATGAAAAGATGACTTAAAAAATGGGAGAAAATATCTGCAAACCATGTAACTCATAAGGAGTTCATCTCTAAAACATAAAGAACTCATACAACTTAATAGCGAAAAAACAAATAACCCAATTTAAAAGTGAACAAAGAGCCTAACTACACATTTCTCCAAAGAAGACCTTCAAAGTGTCAACAGATATATATTTTTAAAAGTAACAAAAGATAACAAATGGCAAAGATATGGAGAAAGGGAAATGTTTTACAGTGTTGGTGAAAATGTAAGTTGTCATAGTCATTATAGAAAAACAGTATGGAGGCTCCTCAAAAAAGTTAAAAACCAACAGTTACTCATTTTCCCCAGTGAATCTCCCCATGTATCCATGAGGTATACCTGTTAATAAACTTGTTTGGATTTCTCCTATTAAAAAAATTAAAAGTAGAACTACCAAAAAATCCAGTGATCCCACTTCTCAATACTGATTCAAAGGAATTGAAATCAGGATCTCAAAGAGATACCCACACTCCCCTGTTCACTGCAGCATTATTCACAGTAGCAAAATATGGCTACATTTACCCCCAAACTCAACGAGTTATAGATATTAAATATGCACAGCTTTTTCCATGTCAATCGTACCTCAATGAGGTGACATATGTGAAGAGTGACTGGATGAGCAAACTAAAAAAAAGAAAAGAGAGCATTTTTTTTTTGGCCCCACTGCACGGCTCATAGGATCTTAGTTCCCCAACCAGGGATCAAACCTGGGCCCCTGACAGTGGAAGTACGGAGTCTTAACCACTGGACCACCAGGGAATTCCCAGGAATATTTTCTTTTTAAATCTCAAAGTGGCTATAAACAAAAAAGATTAATAATTTGATAATTTTGGCCACATAAACATTATTAATTTTGCATGGTCAAAACCACGATAAAGTTTAAGGACAACAGGAAACTGGGGAAAATAGCCACAAGAGTAACAAAGAGCTGGGTTAATTTCCATACATTATACAAACACACAAATTGGTAAGGGAATCAACAGAAAAATAGCATGTGAATAAAGTTCACAGAAAAAGAATGGCTTTTTAAATTTGAAATTTGTGAAACATCAAGCAGTGGAAACACTTTACTGCTGTTAGTTAAACATTAAGCTCTTTCTTAATGGTCTTGGAGAGAAGAAGCAGGACAATGTGATTTAACAACAGTGTCAATTACCCTTCCTTGCTATGGAATTATCAGTGAGATGGACCATATATAACTGGACTGATTTAAGTTTCAGCCAGTGGAAGCCAGGCCACCTCCTCCCAGCCAGTGACAGCAGACTATGCCTAAGTCTTCCCAGTTCCATCTCCAGTGACCTCACGTTGGCAGAGTCAAATCAACCATAGTGGGAATATTTTACCACAGAAAATGACAAATGCTGCAAATCAAAGCTTTTTTAGTTCCAGTCAACTGGTTGTTAAATATTTACCATCACACCATTGCTATGTATGCTAAGTCACTTCAGTCGTGTCCGACTCTGTGCAACCCCATAGATGGCAGCCCGCCAGGCTCCCCCATCCCTGGGATTCTCCAGGCAAGAACACTGGAGAGGGTTGCCATTTCCTTCTCCAATGCATGAAAGTGAAAAGTGAAAGTGAAGTCGCTTAGTCGTGTCTGACTCAGCGATCCCATGGACTGCAGCCCACCAGGTTCCTTCATCCATGGGATTTTCCAGGCAAGAATACTGGAGTGGGTTGCCATTGCCTTCTCCGATCATACTATTAGATCCATGCAAATATCTTCAAAGCCAGGAGACTGTCACACTTTCAAGAATAGTTTTCAACTGGGCTGGACTCAAAGTGAGGGCAAGGGTGTCCAGTAAGATACACAGCTGAATGTATTTTCAAAAAACTCCCTGGCAAATCTGACACTGCACACTTGAATGTCACCAGCCACACCTGAAAACCCTAAGAACCCTACTCTATGCTTTCATTAATTGGCACAAGGTCTAAAATGATAGAACTGTGATGTCTTTCAGTCTCCCTAAATCACTTTGCCAACAAAGGTCCAAATAGTCAAAGCTATGGTTTTTCTAATAGTCAGTGTAGGGATGTGAGAGCTGGACCATAAAGAAGGCTGAGCACTGAAGAACTGATGCTTCTGAACTGTGGTGTTGGATAAGACTCTTGAGAGTCCCTTGGACTGCAAGGAGATCAAACCAGTCAATCTTAAAAGAAATCAATCCTGAATACTCATCAGAAGGACTGATGCTGAAGTAGAAGCTCCAATACTCTGGCCACCTGATGCGAAGAGCTGACTCACTGGAAAAGACCCTCATGCTGGGAAAGGAGGAGAAGGGGGCAACAAAGGATGAGATGGTTGGATGACATCACCAACTCAATGGACATGAGTTTGAGCAAACTCCGTGAGATGAAGGACAGGGAAGCCTGGCATGCTGCAGTCCACGGGGTCACAAAGAGTCAGACACGACTAAGGGACTGAAAAACAGCAACCTCCCTAAAACCAGAGTGAAAAGAAGAAACTCTGCTGGGAGACAGCACATTTCTTGCCTGGTTCAGGAAGAAAGCATGGGACCTTGGCTCACCTGAATTTCCATCTTCTCCTTCAGAGCCCAGAGCTCCTGAGCCTGCCTGAGTCGCTCCTCGGGCTCCTCATCCCGCAGGGACCCCAGGTTGGACTTCATCACATTGTGGGACTGCAGTGCCTGCAGCTTCTGAAAAGGCCAAAGTATAGTTCCATTCAGATGATCTAATTGTGACATTGTCTTTTCTACCCTGAACAGTGTCAGAAGGGCATACTTACCCCAACTACAAAGCCCCAATTTGAACTTACTTTGGCCACCTGATGCGAAGAGCTGACTCACTGGAAAAGACCCTGATGCTAGGAGGGATTGGGGCAGGAGAAGGGGACGACAGAGGATGAGATGGTTGGATGGCATCACCAACTCAATGGACATGGGTTTGGGTGGACTCCAGGAGTTGGTGAAGGACAGGGAGGCCTGGCGTGCTGCAGTTCATGGGGTCGCAGAGTCAGACACGAATGAGTGACTGAACTGAACTGAACTGAACTTACTGGGTATCTGCATGCCTGCAAATGTTCCCACAAGTCCACACTCCCCTTCACTACAGTTCTCCTGAAAGCTCAGCTCTTGCACAAGAGAAAAAAATCCCATGGAAGAACACAATTCAAGAGTGTCATTTCCACTGCACTGAAATTCTGCTGAACTTCAAGCCCAAAACTTGTTTGACAGCTTTCCCATTTCTTCCTCAGTCTCGAGTAGGATAAAGAGAATCAGACTCAGGGCCTTGAGGAGGATCTCTGGCATTCCAGACCACTCCCTGAGAAATCCTGCTCCTCTTCCAACAAAGAAAAAAATCTTGGCTGTCACCAAGAAGGCCTGGCTTTTCACAGCTTGGAGTCATGTCACCAGTGCCTAGTGAGTGCTTCCTGAGCTAACAGTTCCTGAGCTAACAGGAAGAAAAAGGTAAGGAAAAGTGGATCAAAGAGAAGATACCTTTCCACCTCTTCCCCATAGTTATATTTTTACATATATCACTATTGTAGTGACAAAAGCAATTACCTATATCTCTATTACTATATAAAACTCATATACCCATTATAGCTTTAGAGAACTGTTAAGCCCGAGTTTAACTTCACATTCTTATTATCTTTAACTCTTCTGCTAAAGCAATATTGGGTCCAAATGTTAACCATTTCTCATACAAAATATAGTAGTGCATTCTCAGTCATGTCTGATTCTTTTGAGACTCTTTTGGGACTGTAGCCCACCAGGCTCCTCTGTTCATGGGATTTCTCAGGCAAGAATACTGGAGTGGTTTGCCATTTCCTTCTCCAGGGGATGTTCTCCAACTGGGGATCAAACCTATGTCTCCTGTGTCTCCTGCATCAGCAAGTGGCTTCTTTACCACTGGCGCCACCTGAGAAAACCATTTCTAAACTCCTTGAATATTTTTGTAGCGTCAAATGCTTTATCAGATGTATGCACAACTTTCAGCCTCCAATGTGTCACTTCTGTCTTCACACTGCTGCTTATAACACACCAGAGAGCGGCTTTCTTGGTGTCACAAACCATCATGGTGCTTTCCCTTCAACTGGGGCCTCCTTTGGCAGCTGGACTTACCCTACGTCTAATCTAAAGTTCTCTCTTTAGTGAGATGATTTAGCCAAAGCAAGCTCTCTGACTTCTGTATCAGGGACAAAGTTATGAGAACACATCTTTTCAAAATGCACTGAACTCTCACTAGCCCTCCTAACATATTCTCTTGTGCTTTGAAAGTAGCCTTACAGTGTTTTACACAATCATTCTAAACGGAATCTTACCTGTTTCCCCCACTCCCAGAATTTTTTAAAAGTGAACCAACAAAATAATTATCCAAGTACACTGAGAATTTTGTATCCAGTTTGGTTCCTATACTTTAATAAAATTAAAACAATAAAATGTCAGGTGAGAGGAGATGAGGGGAGACACACAAACATAAAAATTCAGCAGAAGTCATCCTATGGGGGAAGACAAAAAAATGAATGTTCCAGTTTAAGACAATGCAATCCTGGTTAAAAGGAAACCATGGATGGTAGTAAGAATTATGTCCTTATTTACCACAACTCAGAATTTCCTAACGGATGTAACCTTTGATTTTTGAGGACGTGGTTTATGAACAACAACTCCAAATTTAAATCAGTACCTATTTACAGAACGTGTCTAGTCAGTAAGCAATGTCAGGGGAAGCATGGGAGTCAGAGGTTCATATGAGCTCAGAGATGATGAGTGTGGAGCTGGGGTCAGGACCATGACCACATGGTGGAGCAGCATCTTGTCTTCCATAAACCACCCCTGTCCACGCCAGGGGAACATTTAGGATGGGAGGGCTCAAGTCCCTACACACACACACACACATACACACACACACACACACACACACACACACACACCCCTACCTCTCGTTTCAACCCCACCACCCTCCATCCTTGGTTTTCCATCTCAGATTGAGATGATGGATCATTCAAGGCTCCCTCCATATCCTACAACAATCCCCTTATGGAAAAACTGCCTAGGTGTTTCTTTACGCAAAATGTAGAATGATCGTGAGAAACACTATTAGATACTTCATTTTCAAAAATAAGAAAAGACATTCCTTGCTGTTCAGAGAACCAATAACAGCTGAATACATTCTGAAAATACTTCTGCTCAAACCTTTTCCCTGTACAGCACCCCCAGTGACTCAGTGGTAAAGAATCTGCCTGCTATGCAGGAGACTCAGGAGAAGTGTTTGATCTCCGGGTCAGGAAGATCCCTTGGAGAAGGAAATGGCAACCCACTCCAGTATTCTTGCCTGGGAAATTCCATGACAGAGGAGCCTGGCAGGCTATAGTCCATGGGATCCCAGAGTCAGACATGACTGAGTGACTAAAACACAACAACATTCTGAAAATACTTTTCAAAACATTTCCCTGATACAGTTTTAGTTACACAGGTTTATATGGGAAGATACAATCCAGGGATAATTTTAATAAGTTTTTTGTTAATAAATTTGATAATATATCCAGTAGAGGAGCAGGGGCTTTTAAGAAGTTGGGTTTAAATCCCAGCTCTATATCTTAAAACAGCCATGTGACCTTGGGCATGTTATGTGGCCTCAATGTCTCTGCTTGAAAAGGAGGAATGATAATAGCTTTAAAAAAAAAAAAAAAGCATTTGATTTTATTTTTTACCTTTTGGACTCAGTGTGCAGTATGTAAGATACCTAATCAGGGATCAAACATGCACCCTGTACAATGGAAGACTTAACCACTGGACCACCAGGGAATTCCTTTAAAAAATAAATTAGGGAGGATTTCCCTGGTGGTACGGTAGATAAGAATCCACTGCCAATGCAGGGGACATGAGTTCAGTCCCTGGTCCAGGAAGATTCCACATGTCGAGGAGCAACTAAGCCCCTGCATCACAACTACTGAACCTGTGTGCCCAAGCTACTGAAGCTCTCATGCCCCAGAGCACGTGCTCCACAAGAGAAACCTCCACAATGAGAAGCCTGCACATGGCAACTAAGAGTAGCCCCTGCTCGCCACAACTAGAGAAAGCCCACACGCAGCAATGAATACTCGACACAGCCAAAAATAAATAAATTTTTAAAAGTGAACTTAGGGACTTCCCTGGTAGTTCAGTGGTTAAGAATCCATCTTGCAATGCAGGGTACACAGATTCGATCCCTGGTTGGGGAACTAAGATCCCACAGATTGCAGAGCAACTAAGCCTGCATGCTGCAACTAGAGAATCTGCACCACAACAAAAGATCTCTCGGTGCTGCAACTAAGATCAGAAATATCTTAATAAATAAATATTTATATTAAATATGTATTAAATAGATAATTTTTTTAAAGAAATTAACAAACTAACAACATGCCTACCTTTAGAATATTAGTTGTTTGGTTGTTATGAGAATTAAAAGCTAGTATATATAAAGAACTCTGTACAGGGGCTAGAAATGTTTCAGTAAATATTAGTCACTATGTGATTCCACAGGCCCCAATAGAGTGCCTGCTTGTAACGAGTGCTCAGCAAATACTTGTTAGAAGAAAAATGCATCCATTTACATTTTGCCTCATTTCTTGTCCAGTGAAGCCCTTTGCAAAAATAAGCATAACATCTCTGGAGCTCTTACTATAATATATGCCAGAAATGTTAGGTATTGTCGGTGTGCTAATTTAACCCTTTCAGAAACCTATCTTACAGAAAGGAAACTGAGGCAAAAGAAGGTTAAGTAACGCACCCAAGATCACACAGCCAATATGTTCTGGAGCAGGGGTTCAATACCTGCCACTGCCCTCTTGTGTCTGAATTCATAGAACTAGTACAAAGAAATAACTTTTGTGAACAAATAAGCATGTTTTCAGCTAAAGAACTCTGAGAAGTCTTTTAGGTTGGGTACCTCCTCTAAGATAGAGTTCTGGTTGGCAACACTTTTAAATTCATCCCAAAATAATTTTTTGAGCTTGTCTATTTCCCCATATAGCTTGGCCCGCTCTTTTTCTTTCCATTCATCAAATTCTTTCTTAGCTTCTGTTTCCCTCTGGCGAATGATCTCTGCTTCCTACAAAGAAAAACAAGAACAAGAGAATCTTAATTCCACGCTATGACAAATATTTACCAAGAAACTGCCAGGGCCCCTTTTCCGTGCAAGTCACTATGGAGACCCAAAGAACATTTATCCCCCAGTCCCCAGTGTTTGGACTGGGAGTAGAATTAGTCTTATCTGAACTGTAAAGGATGGGGAGCCTATCTCTTCTCTCTTTATATTTTTCATGATGTCTGGCAAGGAGTGATGAATGAATAAATGACGGAAGGCATGACGGAAGGCGTGACGCAAGTGTATGTATTTTCATTCTACAAATATTTACTGAATACCTCCTCTGAGCTGCCTTCTGGAGTTTACCCAGTCTTTGTCCTCCAAAAGCTAACAGTATATTGTAAGAAGTCAAAATTCAGGTTCAAATGCCCTCAGAGGGTGCAAACACAGGAAGCTGTAGCCCTCTTTTGGCCACACAGTTCTGGTCAAATAACTGAATTTTCCTTCCCAGACTACGTAAAACCACTTGGCACATCCAGGAAGACACATCCTAGCCCTGAGTCTCAGCTCTGGGAAACAGCCAGAATGTCGACTCTGTGGGATCTGAGCACATTACGGGTCTCCTGGCCAGTCCATGACTGAATCCCCTGCCATTTCTCCTCCACGCCCACCTGGAGCTGCCGCTGCCTCTCCGCCTCCCTCTGGGCTTCCAGCTCCCCTTGGGTCCACTTCAGTTTGGCCCGTAGCTCTTCTAACACCTCCTCCACTGGCTGCTCCTGCTTCCTCTGCTTTCCTGTGGGATCCACGCAAAGCGAGGGTGACCAGCATGAGTCAGAGTCAGTGGTGCGTACAGTTCCTTGTGTGCAGTCACACCTCAGTCTGAGACCAGCTTTGCCACTTACATTGTACACTGCCTCTGGGCAAATGATATAACCTCCCTGACCCTCTGTTTCTCCAAAGTGGAAAATGGAAGCAATAACAGCACCTAACCCAGAGGGGCATGAGGAGACGGCAGGAGGAAAAGGGGACGACAGAGGATAAGATGGTTGGATGGCATCACCAACTTGATGGATATAAGTTTGAGCAAGCTCTGGGAATTGGTGATGGACAGGGAAGCCTGACATGCTACAGTCCATGTGGTTGCACAGAGTCGGACATGAATGAGCAACTGAACTGAACCCAGAGGGTCATTGTGAGGATGAAATGTGATAATGCAAAGTGCCTAGTGTAGCACCTGGCAGACAGCTCGATACATGTAAACTCTAGTTATCATTTAAAATAACTATTTTGTAAATATGTATTTATTTTCATTTATTTATTTGGCTGTACCAGATCTTTGGTTGCAGTATGTGGGATCTAGTTCCCTGACCAGGAATCAAATCTGGGCCCCTTGTATTGGGAGCTTGGAGTCTTAACCACTGGACCACCAAGGAAGTCCCTAAAATAACTATTTTAACAGTACTTACAAATGGGAAATATGAATGCAAAACTTGTAGAGTAACAGAATCAGGATACCAAATAGTATGAACACACTGATTATTAATACAAAGAGGGGAATTTAAAGTAATGATAAGAATTGTAGTTTTAAGTTCATTCTTTTCAGTAATGTAGTACAGTTCAAATATGTAGTTTTAAATTTCAAATAAAAATAAATAAATAAATAAATAAATAAATTTCAAAGAAAAAAAGGCACTGTGCACTATGAAGAAAACTTGAATTATAGAAGAACATTCTAACTAAACCACCTACTGATAAACTAAGAGTTAAAGGTTAATGAAAAAGACACCAATTGTACTTGAACATCTGTTACTTTTCAAAGTACATTTAGGGATTATTAGATGGTACTTTTATTAAAACTTCAAGCTTTTTTTTTGAAAAGATATATGACTTTTCTCAAATGGGGCTTTTTAGAAACAAGCAACTTTTAGATGCAGTGAAAATTAATTTGGATTAATAAAGTGATTTGAGGGACTTCCCTGGAAATCCAGTGGTTAAGATTCAGGGTTAAGATTCTACTGCCAGGGGCACAGGTTCGAACCCTGGTCAGGGAACTAAGATTCAGCATGCTATGCAGCACCGCCAAAAACATAAAGTAATAAAATAAAAATAAAGTGATTTGAGGTGAGTCTGGAATGGGAGAACTGCAGTATTTGAGAAGTCAGCTGCCTGATAATAAATTAATGAACACTAATACAGCCAAAGTTGTCTTCATTGTTGTTTTAGTTGTTAAGTCACGTCCAACTCTTTTGTGACCCCAAGGACTGTAGCCTGCCAGGCTCCTCTGTCCATGGGATTTACTTAAGAACATATTTTTCCTCTCCATATTTTCCCAGCACTGTACATTAAGGAAGTAATAAGGAACATGCACAAGGATTTATGCACAAGAATGTTACCACCATGTGATTTATAACTGGGGAATGTTTTAGTTATCCAAATAAATTAAGAAATAATTCAGTTGTGAAATAAATTATGATCAGCACATGATGAAATACTATTCAGCCATTAAAAACCATGTTTTCAAAGATGATTTAATGACTTTGGAAAATGTGATATATTCTTAATTGAAAATAAGCAGTATCAAAACTGCATCCTATATGATAATATTCATACACAAAAAATAATGACCATGGACACACCAACATATTAGCTGCAGATGATATCATCCATGGTTTTTATTTTCTCTTTTCTACCTTTCTGCATTTAAATTTTCCATATCAAAGGCATGTATTTTCCAATTTTTTACTATGGTAAATATACCTAACATAAAATTTACCATCTTAGCCATTTTTAAATGTACAGTTCGGTAGGATTAAATACATTCATAATGTTGTTCAACCATCACCACTACCCATCTTCAAGACATTCTTCATCTTGTAAAACAGAATCTCTGTCCTCACTAAACACTAACTTCCCATCCCCTCTTTCTCCAGCCCCTAGCAACCTCCATTCTACTTTCTGTTTCTATGCATTTTGCTATTCTTTGTACCTTATATAAGTGAAATCACATGGTATCTGTCCTTTTTTAACTGACAGTTCACTTAGCAAAATAACCCATTGTAGCAAATTGCAGAATGACCTTTCTTTTTAAGGTTGAAAAATATTTATTTGTATCTCTCTCTCTCTCTTTCTCTCTCCCCCCCCATATATATATATATACACATATCACATTTTGCTTATTCATTCATCTGTCAGTGGACATTTGGGTTGCTTCTACACCTTTAGTTACTGTTAATAATGCTCCATGAAAATGAGTGTACAACTATCTCTTCAAAAACATATATTTTTTTCAGAAAAAAGTATTTAATAAATAAAAAATCTGTTTTCTTTAGTTGCCTCCAATGTAGAACCAAGAAGAATCAGATATATAATAAATGCATAGTAACTAGGTGAATAGTGCTATTTTAAAACTCTGTCTGTTCTTTCAAAAGGAAATTAAAATAAAGGGAAAAATGTTTTATTCAATGAGATTTTGTATTTAATTTATATTACATTTTATAATATATTTGCATTAACAGCTAATTCTTCTTGAACCTCAAAAAATCCCTTAAAGGGGAAAACATATAGCCTTGCTACTTGTTTTAGAATTTGAAACAGTAAAACTACAGTGATTAAATCATAATGAATTCATGTACATTAAAAAGTCAAAGAACTGGTCTGACTGCTCCTTAGGCCCAGTTAGGCTTACTCATAGTCAGCACCAATTCTCAGAAGGCTGGGAGGTAAGGGCCCGTCCAAGTCACTGTGTCTAACTGCCCAAGTCACAGCCAAGGACGCTGAGACTCAGGGAAGGAAACCACCCTAACCATGGCCACATAACAGAAGGGGACAGAGTGAAGACTGGAACCTACCTGTCTGACTCCCAGCCCTTTTTCTCTAAACATGTGGCCAGAAACGTTCCTAACCCCCTGTGGGATACCTCCATGTGGTGGGATCACCAGCTCCTCAACTGGATGATGAGGTTCTGGGCTTTGTACACGTCCTCCACCTGCTGAACTGGGCTGGGAGCCAGACAGGTGGCTTCCAGTCTTTGTTCTGCCTCTTATATCATGTGACCATGGTCAGTGTTTCCTCTCTGAGTCTCAGTGTCCTTGACTGTGAATGGGACAGACTGAGTGACTTTGAAGAGCCCTTACCTCCCAGCCTTCTAGAGAAGCCCAGGCCCTTCCACTCACCGCCTTCCACCATGCCTGCGTGCCTGCGCTGGATGTGGGCCCGGAGAAAGGTGGCATTCATGAAGGTCTTGTCACACAGGTGGCACTACACAGAGGGAAGCAGTGGGAAGTGCAGGATCAGCTCACCTGAGTCACCCTGGGATGATTCTCCCTCTATCAACACTCCCATTCCTTGGGAACCCTGGGCTGCTTCACAAATGAAGAGTTTGATTTACAAAGTAAGGTAGTGATGCGAATTATATATATATATGTTGCTGTTGTTTAGTTGCTAAGTCATGTCCAACTCTTTAGGGACCCTATGAGCTGTCGCCCCCCAGGTTCCTCTGTCCATGGGATTTTCCAGACAAGAATACTGTAGTGGGCTGCCACTTCCTTCTCCAGGAAATCTTCCCAACCCAGGGGTCGAACCTGCATCTCCTGCACTGCTGGTGGATTCTTTACCACTGAGCCATTATATACACATATATATTTTTTATACAGCCCCTTCAAAATATTTATTTTCTGAGCTTTAAAACATTACCAGTGCTGTAGGGAGCTATGAACAACAACTAGGCATTTGATGATACTAAGGAATTTTTGTTGGTTTTTCACGGCATGATAATGGTATTATGCTTATGTTTAAAAGTGGGAGTCCTTGCCTTTCAGAGATACAAAGTGAAATATTTACAGATAAACTCATATGACTGATACACTTCAAAATAATCCAGGGGTAGGGGAAAGTGTGTAGGGGAACGAATGCAACAACATTGGCCATGAGTTGAAAACTATTGGGCTGGGTAGTATGCAGATGAAGGTTCGTTATATTATTCTCTCTACTTTTGTATATATCTGATATTTCTCACAATCTTCCCCTCCTCCTCCCCTTCCCTGCTTCCCCTTTCCCACCCCAAGCAGCACATTCACAAACCAGGCACTAAACACAGCTCTCTGCCATGCCAGCTCTGAATGTGAGAAAACGAAATACTGGCATTGCAGTGGCCCAACTTGCTACCACACAGACAGATTCTTTCTGAGAATGGAATCCACACTGACAAAGAATTGCCAAGAGCTGCAGAGAGAGAAACTAGACTCTGGTGCCATTATCTGAGTCCACCATAATCCTGGATTTTTCAGTTAAATTAACCAATAAATTCCTTATTGGCCTAAGCCAAGTTAAACTGCTGTTTTGTAATTTACTACTGGAAAATGTCTGACCCTTTTTATCATAATTAACATTACTTTAATTGCATCAATTACCATTCTAGTCACTAACATCATATCTTAGTGATTCCTTCTGTCCAATCTCCCTTACACTGTGAATTGCTGAAAAATCCGAACCAGCATCATTGGTGCCTTCATCCTCAGAGCCTGCCAGAGGGTCTAGCCACCAACAATTCATTAAAGGGCAACTGATCCCAATCTACACTTTTCATGGAAAGAGACGCAAATGCTCAAATGCCACTTTGGGTGATGAACTGTTACTTGGTTGACTAATGGAGTCACTTTTCCAGACAGTCTTGTCTTCACCAGTTCCTTGCCACATGCTGATTTCACACATACCCTCACACACTGATTTCACACATACCCTCACACATCTCTTATACACGTTTATCACATCACACCTCTACACACACACAAAGCCTTCACACATACACACTTAGGCCTCTACACACATACACACTCTTCATACATCCACACATGTGACAAAAGTATACCTTTACATGCACATTTTACATAAGCACTTGTTATATGCCACACACTCTACATACACACATGCACACACCATTCACAGACAAAACCCTCCAAGCAATCATATACACACCTTAGGTATGTTTACCCACCATCTGTAAAACTCACACACACCCTGCATATGTTCACACATGCACACATGAGACATAACACATAAGACACCTATACTCTGAACTCATACACACCTGCCACACAACTACACACGCATTGTAGACCTAACCAGACACCAGGGGGCTCTCTGGTGATGAACGGCATCTCTAAAATCTGCTCCCAGCCCCAGTGAGAATGGCCACAGCTGCCTCAGGGCCCAGGCGGCAGTGCCACCGGCTGGGCGCACAGCCCTCCCAGGGTCCCCGCCCGCAGCGGTGCTCACGGTGTGGTAGCTGTGGGCGCCCGTCTGCAGGAGCAGCTGCTGCAGAGCACTGATCATCTTGCGCCGCCGCCGGCTCTCCTCCCGCACGCCCTTGAGCTCATCGGCCTGGCGGCCCAGCTCCTGCTGGCCGCGCTCCTGCTGGCCCAGGCTGGCCTGCAGCCGCGCCTCCAGCTGGGCCACGCTGGTGCTCAGGCAGTCCTGGCAGTGCAGCAGGTACTCGATGCTGAGCTGCGCCAACCGCAGCACCTTGAGCAGCACTGGGTCCACGGGCTGCCCGCAGCGGCCGCACACCTCCCGGTCCAGGTTGCAGAAAGTGACACCAGCGATGTTCTCCTGCAGGGCGGCCACGTCCAGCTCCCGTGCCACGCGGTCCACATCCAGGGCACTGATGCGCCTCCAGTCCACACTCTCACGGCGAGGCTGGAACTTGAAGGTTGGGAGAGTGTAGGCCCCAAAGAGGGGGCCGCTGAGGCCCTGGGCTGTGCTGGTGGGAGACTGCATGGGTGGGGGAAGCCCTGGGCTGGCCACCGGAGAAGGGTGCCACCAAGGCCACGGCAACAAGCACAGGAGCTGAGAGAGGGCCTGGAAAATGAGAAGAGTCGAAGTTAGGCCTGCTGCATGTGGCTGCACGTACCATACTGGACCGCAGGAGCCTTAGGATGCACGGTGTGCGCTGACATGGCCAAAGCAAGGGTGTGGGCTTTATAACACACAAGTGCGGGTTCAGATCCTCAGCCTTGAGCAAGATCCTTTGTATTATTAAGCCTCCGTGTGTACTGGGAATCACGGTGCCTCCTCTGCAGCCCTGTGGTTAGGAATGAGGCAGGAGAAGCACCCAGCCCAGTGCCTGACACACAGTAGGTCCTCGGTGTACTCCCCACCATGTCCAAGTGCACTGCAAGAGTGCCTGCCAGAGGGCTGGGTCAGGAGAGAGCTGTCAAATGTATCAGGAAGTCTTTCTGTAACCCTATACTGATCTCAGGATTAAGTCCAGTAACTCTGCCTTGGGAGGCAGAGCCACTTAACAGTGGACATTAAATGGTTCTCCTTCGGTAACTGCAAAATTTAATGGACAAGATGGGCTACAGTTCCCAGTTTCCCCCGCTGTAAGCCGGACCATATGACCATGTTTTCTTTAGTGGGATGTGAGTGAAATGATGTCCAGCTCTGCCACAGGGTGGCGCTCAAGACAGCAGTTGGGTCTCTGCACAGAGATCTTGTTATGTCCATGATGGTCTCTGAATTTCCAATCCTTATGGTTTAGAAAACAGCTCCAGTTTGTTGTTAAAAGACTCAGATTCTTCTCGCCACTTTCTTGTTAGACAAAGAAATTGTTCTCTTTGTAACTTGACAATAGCAACTGGAATTTAAAATGAACATTCCACTACTAAGAATTATAATTTATTCCACAGATAAACTCATACAGACATGCAAAGGTGCTTGTGCAAAAACTGTCATTGCAGTATTATTTGTAATTGTAAAGTACAAGAAAATTACAAGAAAGTACAAAGTAAGGTATCTCTATACAATGAAATACTATGCAGCTATTGATAAGAAGAAGGCAGCTTTTTATGTACTGATAGAGAATAATATATAATATATTAATAATTATAATACAATAATTATAATAATATATTGATAATATATAATTATATACACATATATATGCATTTCTGTTTAAATAATATATTAACATGAAATTTAATAATAATTTGCAAAAATAAAGGAGATATGTGTATCTCACATATATGTATTTCACATATGTATGTGTATCTCACATATGTATATATATACACACACACACATATATATTGGACCTTCCCAGATAGTTTAGTGGTAAAGAATCCACCTGCAATGCAGGAGACATGGGTTTGATCCCTGGTAGGGAAGATCTCCTGGAGAAAGAAATGGCAACCCACTCCAGTATTCTTCCCTGGAAAATTCCATGGACAAAGGAGCCTGGTAGACTACAGTTCATGGGGTTGCAAAGAATAAGACATGACTGAACACACACACACACACACACACAGGTTCCAAAGCTTGTGGATTTTGAACCACCCTACATCAATTTTGCTTTGATCAGATCATCACTCCTTATCCATCAAATTCAACCATTCATTCACTCAACCTCCCCCCGTTTAGAGCATGCCTACCTTGGCCAGGCCTGGTGCCAGGCACTGGGGCCACTGAGATGCATTAACCACACAGCTGTCCCCCATCTGCCACCCAGCAGCTTAGCACAGCTCCTGGCTGCCACAGTACCCAGTGCAAACCCTTAGCCTGGTCTTGAAGCTGACACTGGATGCCACTGACCCACCTTTTCCATTTCAGCTCCCATGCTTCCCTTTCTCAGATACTCCTCCTCAATACAAACTCCAGGAAAAAAACCATCCAGCCACAAGCATACTAACCATGGCCATGAGATTAGCACATTTCTCTTAACAAGGCACATTATTTTTTTTAAAAAAAAGAAGGCAAGTGACATGACACTCACCATGCTCAGCTGCTGGCTGCAACCTTGTCAGCAGAGCGTCAGAGACAATTGCCACAACAAGCCGTGCCTTGGAGCAACAGCAGGTTACCAGGCGTGCTATGGGTGAGGGTAACAGGACTCCTGCTTCCTGTCCTCCCACAGACCAGGAGCTCACCTGAGAACTTGCTGTTTAACTATTTAAGCTTTGGCCTCAGATGTCTGCCCATAGCCCCTCTCTAATAATAAGGCCAAGAATGTTCCATCAGCCACTCTCTAGGCTTGCCTCCCACCTCTTTGAATGCCTCTCCCTTGAACAGTTACTATCCTCTTGCCCTTCCTTTAAGGCAGGGTGTGCAGTGCCCCCGTGACAGCCTGCTGTTCACCCCCCACCCGTCACTCCTGGCACACGCTCCCTGGGGATGAGCTCACACATACCCTTAGCTTCAGCTACCATAAGCCTCAGCCTCTCCCAAATCTGTTTTTCACAGACCTGTCTCTTGATATCTTTAGATTTACCTTCCAATATTGATTATACTGGCTCCCCTAATAGCTCAGTTGGTAAAGAATCCGCCTGCAATGCAGGAGACCCCGATTTGATTCCTGGGTCAGGAAGATCCACTGGAGAAGGGATAGGCTACCCGCCCCAGTATTCTTGGGCTTCCCTTGTGGCTCAGCTGGTAAAGAATCCACCTGCAATGCGGGAGACCTGAGTTCGATCCCTGGGTTGGGAAGATCCCTGGAGAAGGGAAAGGCTACCCACTCCAGTATTCTGGCCTGGAGAATTCCATGGACTCTAAAGTTCATGGGGTCGCAGAGAGTCAAACATGACTGAGCAACTTAAAAAAAAAAAAATTGATACACTAGAAATAGAAAATCTAACTTTCATCAGGACCAGGAAAGTAATGTTAAATGTAGGAAACATGCCAGGCATAAGAAAAACCATAAGTTTGATGATGAAGTGAAATGAAGTCACTCAGTCGTTTCCAACTCATTGCGACCCCATGAACTGTAGTCTACCATGCTCCTCCGTCCATGGGATTTTCCAGGCAAGAATACTAGAGTGGATTGCCGTTTCCTTCTCCAGAGGATCTTCCTGACCCAGGGATCAAACCCGGGTCTCCCACATTGTAAGCAGATGCTTTACTATCTGAGCCATGATAAGTGGCAACTAATTCCCTAAGCTAGTGTCCAAGATGTAACTGGGCAGGGACTTCCCTGGTGGTCCAGGGGCTAAGACTCCGTGCTCCCAATGCAGGGGGCCCAGGTTCAAACCCTGGCTAGGGAAGTAGATTCCACATGCTGCAGCAAAGATCAAAGATCCTATGTGCTACCACTAAGACCCGGTGTAGCCAAATAAATATTTTAAAAGATACAACTGGGCTGTGGTTTTCAAGTGTGGTTGCTGGCTGGCAGCATCAGCATCAACTGGAAACTCATTAGAAATGCAGATCTTCAGACTGACTGACTGAGAACCACTGCAGGGAGTGTTGGCATAGGGAGCACTAGGGACTGTGGCAAAATGGGGAGTTCATGCCCTGTTACAAGGGGCAGCCACCACTGAGCTTCAGGCTTCCAGGAAGGAATGTTCTGTGTTCCTTGTGGGCTAATTCCAAATTCATTAAGAAGATATTCAAGTAGGTATGGGAAATACAGTAAAGTAGGAAGACCCCCAGCTCACCTCCTCCCACAGACACACCAAAATTACAACTATTTACAGCAGTAACTATCTACAGGAATGACCTGAACACTAGCAGAAAAGATTTTCCACAACTAAAGATATAAAGAAGAAATGATAAGCTAGGTAAAGAGACTGGGGGCACTGGGTGAGTGAACCACAAACAAGAGGATAATGACAATTGCAGAGGTTCTCCCCAAGGAAGAAGGGGTCTAAGCCCCATCTCAGGGCTCCCAGCCCAGGGATCATGTACCATGAAGAAGAGTTCACAGAACACCTGACTCTGAAGGCCAGTAGGGCTTGCATACTTGCATAAGGGAGGGCTGCCACAAGCCCTAAGCCCCACAGCCAGCTGTTACAGGACTCACCCCTGATCACCAGGGGGCGGGCATCTACCACGTGAGGCAGGCCACCCACACCTACCAGCACACTCATAGCAGCCAGCCCAGCCACACAGAAAGGCCCACTCAGCCCACATAGCTGGCACCCTAGAGCATATAGCTCTGGTGACCAGGGTGGAGTTCGGTGCAAGGCTCCATGGACATGTCCTACGTAATGCCACTTCTCCAAGATCTGGAAACAAAACCTGACCTACCTAATACAAGAAATAAACAGAGAATTAGACAAAATGAGGAAGACAGAGAAATGAGTTTCAAATGAAGGAACAAGATCAAACCCCAAAAGAATGAAGTGGAGATATGCAATCTACCCAGTGAAGAATTCAAGGTCATGATCATAAAGATGCTCCACAAACTCAGAAGAATACATGAATACATTGAGAAATTTAACAAAGAGTTATAAAATATAAAGGAAAGCCAAACAGATCTGGAGAATACAACAAATGAAATAAAATGTATTCTAGAACAGGGTCCCCAACTCCCCAGATTGTGGACCAGTACTGATCCACAGTTCATTAGGAATTGAACTGCACAGCAGGAGGTGAGCGGCAGGCGATCTAATGAAACTTCATCTACTATTCCCCATCACTCACATTACTGCCTGAACCATTCCCCTGACCCAGTCAATGGAAAACTTTCTTCCATGAAACCAGTTCCTGGTGCCGTAAAGGTTGGGGACTGCTACACTAGAAGGAATCACCTGTAGGCTAGATAATCCAGATGAATGGATTAGTGAACTGGAAGACAGAGTAGTAGAAATCACCCAAGGTGAAAAGAAGAATGAATTTTTAAAAGTGAGGGCAGGGCTTTCCTGGTGGCTCAGTGGTAAAGAATCTGCCTGCCAATACAAGAGATGTGGGTCCAACCCCTGGTCTGGGAAGATCCCACATGCCAAGGAACAACTAAGCCCATGTGCCACAAATATTGAGCCTGTGCTCTAGAGACCAGAAAACAC